ACACATGCGCGTTTGAATGTTAAGAAGATAATAATAATAATAATAATAATAATAATAATAATAATAATAATAATAAAAAAAAATAATGATAATAATAATAATGATAAAATAATAATAATGATAATAATAATGATAATAATAATAATGATAAAATAATAATAATGATAATAATAATAAGAAATAGATAAATAATAATAATGATAAATAGATAAATAATAATAATAATAATAATAAAATAATAATGATGATAATAATAATAATAATGATAAAATAATAATAATGATAATAATAATAAAAAATAGATAAATAATAATAATGATAAATAGATAAATAATAATAATAATGATAATAATAAAAATAGATAAATAATAATAACGATAAATGGATAATAATAATGATAATAATAATAATAATAATAATAATAATAATAATAATAATAAAACAATAATAATGATAATAATGATACTAAAAAATAGATAAATAATAATAATGATAAATGGATAATAATAATGATAATAATAATAATAATGATAATAATAATAATAGGATATTTCACCAATGTCAGAAATTCTCAAAACCGATTTGACCGCTATTTTATCCCCTCTGGTTTTATATACGTGCAAAATACCGCTAAATTTAGTGTTTAAAAACCGAGGTGTCAAGTTGAATTTTGAGGAAAATATATTTGATGTGTGTCTTAAATATACGAGGTTATTAATTGTCTATTCTCGCCTTGAAAAAAGATGATTTATGAATTTACACGCAATTTATCTTCTACATTATAGCCGTAATGTATGTTTCCTTGATAATATATAAAGATATATATATATAGGTTAATTACTATCACGATGATAATGTGAAGATTTTATCTACATTGTATATATATATATATTATATACTTATAAATGTGAGAAATGTTTGATGAAACAAAATGCGTTTTTTTTATTTTCCGTATTTTCACTGTAATTTTTTTTTTAAATCTGTAGTGAAACATATTTTTCCGTATTTTCAATGGTGTCTTGCCGGAATTCAGCCATTACACAAAATGTAAGGGGAAAACATCAAAAAGAAAAATATATCTGGTAAACAGAAAATTTAAGATTTCTTTCTATAAATACAGGATTTATTTTCATCGAGTGGTATGAAAAATAAATAGTTCATGAGTGGCGCTAGCCACGAGTGAAATATGATAACTTTTATACCACAAGAAAAAAACGCCTGAATATCCTTTATATATCTTAGAGATATATTAAAATATAGATGAACTTGTACATACGTAATGAACAAATTTTATATGAAATTTTAATTTTATATGTAATTTTATAAATTTTAATTTTATATGTAATTTTTATTTTATATGTAATTTTATATGTAATTAGTGTTCTAGTCATACAATACAGAATGAGTGTTAAAAAATGAGTTTAACCGATCTAAAAGTTTGCTTCGCACTTTATGGTATGTGATGAAGTACTTGCCCTTTAAACGTTTAATATTACAAAAATATCGCACTTGAATTAACAACAAAATTCTTAATGAGATAATATATATTGCGATAAAAGTAACACAGACATACGTTTTTAGTCTCAGTAAATAGTTTCAACCTATGCTCCAATAACATCATTTTATTTTTTTTAACTAGTCCAAACTATGGCTTCCCACATTTTACTAGTGAAGATATATAACCTGTACAACAATAAGTTGGCACAACTTTGAAATTTAAATACAGCAACAGATCGCTGCAATTTATAATATACATGTAGATTGCAACTACTATGTATGTAAAACGATATAATAAGTCACGTGATTGCAACAAATCGTGTCAGTAATAAAGTAAATTTATCCTTGACAAGTTCTTAAGCAAATATATACAATCTCAGGTTAACCGTGGTTGCTATGTAACAAAACCAGGATTACAGTGGTTGCTATGTAACAATATCAGGTTTACTGTGGTTGCTATGTAACAATATCAGGTTTACTGTGGTTGCTATGTAACAATATCAGGTTTACTGTGGTTGCTATGTAACAATATCAGGTTTACTGTGGTTGCTATGTAACAATATCAGGTTTACTGTGGTTGATATGTAACAATATCAGGTTTACTGTGGTTGCTATGTAACAATATCAGGTTAACTGTGGTTGCTATGTAACAATATCAGGTTTACTGTGGTTGCTATGTAACAATATCGGGTTTACTGTGGTTGCTATGTAACAATGTCAGGTTTACCGTGGTTGATATGTTACAATATCAGGTTTACTGTGGTTGCTATGTTGCAATCTCAGGTTTACTGTGGTTGCTATGTAACAATATAAGGGTTGCTGTGGTTGCTATGTAACAATATCGGGTTTACTGTGGTTGCTATGTAACAATATCAGGTTTACAGTGGTTGCTATGTTATAATATAAGGTTTACTGTGGTTGCTAGCTTTTAATATCAAGTTTACTGTGGTTGCTATGTAACAATATCAAGTTTACTGTGGTCGATGTGTTATAATATAAGATTTACTATGGTTGCTAGGTTTCAATATCAGGTTTACTGTGGTTGCTATGTAACAATAGCAGGGTTACTGTGATTGTTATGTAACAATATCGGGTTTACTGTGGTTGCTATGTAACAATATCAGATTTACAGTGGTTGCTATGTTACAATATAAGGTTTACTGTGGTTGCTAGCTTTTAATATCAAGTTTACTGTGGTTGCTATGTAACAATATCAAGTTTACTGTGGTCGATGTGTTATAATATAAGATTTACTATGGTTGCTAGGTTTCAATATCAGGTTTACTGTGGTTGCTTTGTAACAATGTCAGACTATCTATCATTTACATATTCCTGAATTTCTGAATTACGTCTACAGTTAAATGTTTTTACACAATTTTTTTGGTATTCAATATATCAGAATGCGGTAAATGTCAGTTTCAACGGAAGCGCGTAAAGTTTATAGTTGTGCTTGGTAAAAATTCATGCATGATATCAAAGTTAAATAGCACTTAATGCATAGCCTACGTCCTATATGAAAACATCTAAATCATGCAACGATATACAATAAACAATGGGAAGAATTTTGCATGCAAATCGACCAATTACGGCACTTAAGATTAAACTCGAGAAACAAAATGGACTGGTTTTACCGGACATTCTAGAGTTTAAATAATATTTTGTGTTTTGCATAAATATTTAAGCAGTTAAATATTTGAAACAATGGATAAGGTGAAAGATAAACAATACAATAATCTCATCAAATCATCATGAAGCATTGTCCCCACGATGAACGCACGGTGACGTGACGACAACGATGACAGATATTAACCAACCGTAAAATTATTAACTGTCAAGCTTATCAGTTTCATGTAGCGGACATTTCACATTATTTCCTTCTCCTTGAAATAAATCATATTATCATGTTTACGTTTCATTCATTCATTCGTTCGTTCATTTGTTCGTTCGTTCATTCGTTTCTTTCTTTGTTCCTTCCTTCCATCCTTCATTGATTCATTCTTTCAGTTATACATTCATTTTTTCGTTCAATTATTCGTTCGTTTGTCTGTTCGTTCATTATTTTGTTCGTTCTTTCGTCATTCTTTCTTTCATTTTTTCATTTATTCATTCACTCGCTTGTTCGTTCGTTCATTTGTTCATTATTTTGTTCGTTCTCTCGTTCATTCTGTCGTTCATTCATTCGTTAATTCATTCATTCATTCAGTCTTTGATTTTTTCTTTTCTTTAATTCGTTCATTCATTCATTCAATCATTCATTCATTTATTTCTTCATTCATTTATTCAGTATTTCATTCTTTCATTCATTCATTCATTCATTCATTCATTCATTCGTTCTTTCATTAGATAGTTAGTTCGTTCGTTCGTTATACATTGAGTATAATTTAAGATATCTTATATATAGATATTATATTGAGATATGCTCCGATTAATTAGAAAAATATGTTAATCACAGTTCTAATTGTGTCTTGTTAAATAAATGAATGACGTTTTTTCCCCTATTTTTATTCTGGGGGTTGATGGATGACAATGTTTACCACTCTTCATAATGTCAAAATAAAAAAATACGTACACAGTACACACGTTTTCTTGAACACACATGAGTATTTAATACGTGCATAAAAGTCTTAATAACTTATAGTTTAGTACAATACTCTATTCAAAGTTTTGTACCGTACTTCATTTATAGTTTAGTTCAATGGTATACGTCAGAAATAGTTTAGTATAATAGTTTATGTCATTTATGGTAAATTAGTTCAATACGTCATTTATAGTTTTGTACAGTAACTAATTTATAGTTTAAAACAAACGTAATTTATAGTTAAGTTCAATAGTTTAGGTCATTTTTAGTTTAGTATGATACGTCATTTATAGATTAGTACAATACGTCATTTACACTTTAGTACACTAGTTTACGTCATTTATAGGTCAGAACAATATGTCATTTATAGCTTAGTACAATACGTCATTTACACTTTAGTACACTAGTTTACGTCATTTATAATTCAGAACAATACGTCATTTATAGCTTAGTACTACGCCATTTATAGATTTTCACACTATAGTACACTAGTTTACGTCATTTATAATTCAGAACAATATGCCATTTATTGCTTAGTACTACGTCAATTATATTTTAGTACAATACGTAATTTACAATTTATTACACTAGTTTACGTCATTTATATGTCACAAAGTCAACGTCATTATTAGTTCAATATTTGGAAAAATATAGAAAAAGAAAGAATGAAATATATTAATAAAATAAGAAAATATGGGACATAAAATCTACATGCCCAATTTCACATATTAAAGAGATGCTTGAACCTTCAAAAATAATAATTCTATTTTTCGAAACATCTCTTCAACGTATTATTTTCATTCACGTATTTTAACGTAATCTCTTTAACTCAACATTATATGAAACGATTTATTTAACATTTAGAAAAACTGAAGGCCGCTATAATGACACATATATTTAAATAATTATCAAAGTTTCGACTTACCCATCTGCACCAATACAAATGCTGAAAATAAAATAACCAAACAATGTAATATATATATTCACAAATTGTCTCACATTATATTAGACAATATGATCTAGTATAAAAGTTCACAACATAGGGGAGATGACGAGTGTGCCGCTCTGTGTGAATATGATTATATCTCACTAAAAAGTGAGATTTTTTAAAGATACGTGTAGTTTAAAGAAAGATTCTACAGATACATGTATTTAAAGAAAAATTTAAAAGATACGTGTAGATCCATGTATTTAAAGAAAGATTTTAAAGATACGTGTAGATCCATGTATTTAAAGAAAGATTTTAAAGATACGTGTAGATCGATGTATTTAAAGAAAGATTTTAAAGATACGTGTAGATCCATGTATTTAAAGAAAGATTTTAAAGATCGTGTAGATCCATGTATTTAAAGAAAGATTTTAAAGATACATGTATTTAAAAGAACGGACAACGTGATATAGTATTAAACCAATCTTCACCCATAAATAAATAGATAAATAAATAAATAAATAAATAAATAAATAAATATAAAATAAAAAAATAAATAAATAATAGAAAAACGATTTTACGTTTTCATTTTTATCTTTAACCGTAGTCCGTAGTCCATAGTTTTAGCAATAACACGAGTTTAATTCTCGTATAAGCAAGAAACTTCCAAAAAAGGCGCCAAAAATAGCGCCCAATTTTACGACGTTACAAAAATAATGCTGTGCCCTATTTATCGAGTTTTACTGTTAAGAACGGGAACCAAACTTCATTATTTCACTCTATTTCAGTGTGATATATTTTTATATTTCATTAATTTTTTTCGGTATCTCATTGCAAAAGCATAGGATAAATTACTAAGAATATATATAGAAAATAGATAAATTTAAAAAAAATGTATTTGTACTTTAATAATATAGCAAAAATAAATAAATTATAATTAAAAAAAATAATGTTTTTTAAACCAAGGCAGTTTTAAATTTTCGACACATAAATCAATATACATGTAGATGTAATGTCTATGATTTTATTCTAGCCGATACATAATGATAATGTTCAATGTTATATATGAATATTATTATTTACTTACCATTAATCAAAAGACAAAGTGTTTTCGTCATCTTGGTGTCGATTTAAACACTTTAATTTACAAAAACCGAAAAAATTATAAAGAAACGGAAGGCGGTTTCAAACTGTAATCCGATTTTTAATCAAAACTACACATTGCTCCGCACTTTTCTTAAAAATAAATTTGTCCTTAATTCCACAAAAAGTTTCACGCCTATCTAAACGCGAAACGTAAATGCCTGAGACTATGTCTAGCTGGGATTTACGTCACAACGTTACGCTTGTTTCGTCTATGTTCGTCAATCGTCCGTGACGTACGAACGTTACCGAATGATACCGGAAATACACGAAGTTAAAGCTGCTTCATAGATGACCTTCATTTAATAGCCTAGGGTAGGAAACCGATTGTCAAAACTGTCACGGTAAAACAATAGATAGACTGTTAATTGTCTAGGTTTTGATAACTTTATACATCTCCTTGTCACAAACACTGTACACCTTACTATCATTATATGAAATAACTGACGTCGTTTTTTACAAAATATGTAATATGCAAAAATCTTACGTACAACTACACATCAGTTAACGTGTGAATTTTATGCGTTTCTTTTTCTTGCATTTATTGCAGAAATATTAATCATACACGTGGTACATGATGACTACGACTATCGAGATTCAAATGTGACAAAATATATATACTTATAAATGAAATATTGAGAAATATTGATGAAATAAAATGCGTATATTCATTTTCCGTATTTTTACTGTAAAAATTTATTTTTCACTGCAGTGAAACATATTTTCCGTATTTTCACTGGTGTCTTGCCGGACTACTTTCTTTTAAATTCTGCCAGTACACGAAATATAAGGGAAAGTCTTGCAAATTTTAATGTCCAGAAAGAGAAAAATGTATATAATAAACAGGAAAATTCAAGTTTTTTCTATAAATACATGATTTATTTTCATCTTGTGGCATGAAAATTAACATATTTCACTCTTGGCTACCGCCACTCATGAAATATTTATTTTCATACCACTCGATGAAAATAAATCATGAATTTATAGAAAAAAACTTGAATATCCTCTATGTAGTCTTTTCAAAAGGACACAAACTCATATAAAGCAAGTCTTCAGTTCAAAATAAGTTATAATCTTTTATTTATTTATTTTTTTTTTTTTTGGTTGCTGGTAACTTTTCGTTCTCTATATCTATATATTTTATTTCTTACATTTCTTACTTAATTAACATGTTTAAAATCAATATGTTTCACTTGCCGATCTGGCTCGTGAAAATATATGGAATTTTATGTTTCGTGAAAATATCTTCCATATTTCACATAAACGAAAAAACAACAACAAAAAACAATAAAATGTCAACGAAAACATTCCATTTGTAATGCATTATTAATTGTACAGCGCATATAGATTTGCCGTTTAAAGTATTTTAGTGTTATGCAATTTAAAACACAATTTAAGACAACTAGGTGGAACTGTCTTGATAAAATATACTTAAGGACGATGAAAACGCACGCCCGCACTATATGCATTTTATTGCATGAAGACAAAACACTAACGACTCCATTAGATATATATCATAACTTTAATACAAAACGCAAACTTAACAACTGAAAATAATTCAAAATGTTTAAAATCAAATGTACAACAGTAAATCGAAGAACCTTAGGTGAAAATCCCCAAATCACACTTTTTCATCACAGTAATGCAAACTTAACAAAGGCAAAAAACCAGAATAAAAACCACAACAAAGTCACTCATAATAAATATCTATTCGTAATGTCACCGTCGGGATCTTTAGAAACGACAATATCCTCCATCAGCGTCTCTTACAGTTGACGTCGTCGCCTCGTAGACCTTATGATGCGGATAGTCGCCTGTGAAACCTGACGCCATTCAGACTGTAGTGTAGTGCGAAAACGCTGATGAAGCGGGGAAATTGTAGACCGATGGACACCAAAACGGTTGGCGCTTTGATAATACAAAATTTGATTATAAGATAGACCAGACTGAATCTGTCCTAAATCTACCCAGCGGTTAATTCTTTGTAGAATCATTGCATATAATTTGCTAGCAAGTGTTTGAAATTAAGCACCTTTTATAGAGGAAAAGTGTATAAATGCAATTTCAATGTGAGGTATTACGATTTCTAAAACTGACCATTGGCATAGTTTAATATTCATTTTCATAAAATTTTAATTGCTCATATGTGTCTAACATTTCTTAAAAGGTGTGAAAAACAAGTTAATAATTAACAGTTTAAAAAGATATAAATAATTTCATTTCATAAAGTAACCATGAATTGATTAAATCTGTTTTCCGTTGTGAACTTACATGTATCACAATTAGCCAAAAGTGTTACTTTTGATTTTTCGGGTACTGTCTTTATCATGCAATAACTTCCTTAAAATGCAATCAGTTTTCATAACTTTGGTATCTAAATGACTGGAATGCATTCGGTTTTATGAAACTGTGAAAAAATACTTAAGAGAAACATATTTTCCTTGTTAGAACGCAATAATTCCGACCGTGCGTTTTCATTGTTCTTAAGTATATTACCAGATAAATTCTGATAATAAAATGAATATCTAGATAAAATTATCTAAGAAAGTAGTCCCATAAAATAACTGACTGCGCACACTTTCATATTTATTTTTTTATATTTGTTATTGAACAAATATGGTATATTTATGTGACTGATGTAGCACCATAATTCATAGATACCATGTACTATAGTAATAGATACCTCGACGGAACCCACGGTACACATTCCGTATATACTACATTTAATATGTAAACGGTAAATAGCCTGGGTTAGCGAGGATATAACACTGATGCCCATATGGGCCTAGTTGAAATAAAAAACTTGAAACTTGAAACTTGATACCGTGTGCTCAATGTTGGATACGTAACCAGACGTGATGAAATATAGAGGCTCAGGTAAGGGCACAATATTGAGAATGGGCTATATTTTAAATAGGGACATCAACTATAATATAGTCAGTATGTCCAGAACAGGGGAAACGTGTTTTAGTACGGACAACGTATATGGGCTTTATTTTAAATAGGGGCTACTAACAGAAAATAGTCAGCATATCCAGAACAGGGAAAACGTGTTTTAGTACGGACAACGTATGAAGTACTGGCAACAGTCTAGGCAACGTATCAGGTACAGTCAAAATGTATAGTACGGAAATAAACAATCAGTACGAGGCACGGACTTGTCAATTAAGGTCCGTAGTACGGGCAACATGATACATGCATATAGGTAACTAATTTGGTATAAACACCACCTTTCGTTTAGTTTGCTTGTATTCACTTATTTTCCTATTTTATCTACTTATTTCTTTCATTCTTTTTTTTTAGTATTTGTGTGTATATAAGTTGTTTTAGTCACCATTTATTATTTCGTAATCGTCGAAAGATAGTTTACATTCTTTAGACATTATTGTTTGTCACGATGAGTGTATAGGGTATTATCTACCAATACTAATTGTCAATACAGGTCAGTACAGTAGTGAATTGACGTTACGTTGACGTTACGTTGACGTGTTCACGTGAGTGCGAATAGATATTACATTATGATGACCAGACTTTCGTTACTTGTCACACTGTAAATATAATATGTCATAATTGCTTTACATAACTAATTATCAAAATCAAGGTGCTCCGAATTCATGTGGCTTTCCTATTCCTTACGAAATGAATGACATGAAAGAACAAAGAAGAAAAAGTAAAAAATAACAAATTATCCAAATAACAATTTGCAAGGGAAAGTACTGTTTTCCAAATAATGATGCCAGAGTTATAAATAGAGGTTATTAAATATGTGCAGATTTAATACTAAATTTATTGGAAGAGTTAAAAATAGCATAATATTATTTTATTCAACGAGTTCAAAAAATTTAGTATTGAATCTACACGGATATAATATTCTATTTATCACATATCTATAACATGAATGTTAAACTGTTAAGAAGAGTCATTTTCATTGACGCGCTTATAGTGCAACGCTAACATTAGCCTTATTACACTCTTGTGCCGCAGTTTATGTGATAAACCTTGTTACATCAACGCTGGTGGTGACAAGACACAATTTAAAATCTGAAAAATATCCTGTGTGATCAGGAAAAGTAAGAAGAAGAAAAAAACACATTCAGGGCGGGCGTCTAAGTTCAAAGGAGAGATTATTCATAGAGTTATGAAGAACATTTTTAATACGTCAAGGGACATAAGTTTTAGAATGACAAAAATACTTTTAATTCATTTGTTTTAAGTACATAGTACCTATAGAGGGCATTTCCCTTCTGTTTCTTTGTTTTAATACATCTTTACCCCACATATGCATATTGAAAATGTTTTTATTGTCTTCTTAGTAAAATGTATAAATCGTTATTTTATATTGGAAATATGGTTTGGATTGTTGCACCACAAAGTCAACGAATCTGAATGGAACTTTGGTCACAAAGTGTGTTCATGGTCCATTTACTGAACCAAGAGAGGTATAGAATGGCAAAGTAAAAGCAGTCCCGCCTACAATGCTCTGCAGATAAATTTCTTCAACAGATACCTTACTTTTTGAATGCACGTTAAAATGTTAATTGCATTCTACAATTTGTAAACAATCCCCTAGCCCCCCCCCCCCCCCCCCCCCCAAAAAAAAAAAAGATAAGAAAGAAAAAAAAGAAGAGAGAAACTTTAACTAGATAATTTAAATACAGTTCAAATATTTTACTTTAGCCTTTTGTTTACTTACGGAACGTAGGTGGTTCTACTCGGGTGCACGTTCGTGCATGAAATAATGCACGGAAGGGCACCTGAGGTCTTCCTCCACCAGTAAAGCTGGAACGTCGCCAAATGACCTATACTGTGTCGGTGTGACTAAAACTCAAACAAACAAACCTTTTGTTTATTACAATCATCTTTAATTTATTTCATGTATTCTAAGCAATATTTTGCGAGTGCCTTGTTTGTAAAACTTACCTATACATCATCTTTTAGTGTTTGTGATAGAAAATGACGCTTACAGGAAGTGTGCTTCTGCAGCAGCATTTACTGACTTTGTTAATTGGACACAATTAACATGTTCATAGCACGTTCATAGCATGTTCGTAGCATGTTCATACTACATTCGTAGCACGTTCATAGCACGTTCATAGCATGTTCATAGTACGTTCGTAGCACGTTCATAGCATGTTCATAGCATGTTCGTAGCACGTTCATAGCATGTTCATAGT